TGGCTGAAAGAGCGGTAGGCATATTCAAAACCGCTATGGTAAAAATGAGTACCGGTAACAAATTGTCTCTCAGGGAAAGAGTAAACAAGTTCTTAGCCAAATACCGCACAACTCCTCATATAACAACAGGTGTTGCACCATGCGAATTGATATGTGGTAGGAAAATTAAAACTCACCTAGACCTACTACATCCAACTGTTTAAAGGTCTGTTTCCCAACATCAACATACACAAAAATTAAATCATGACAAAACATCCATTGAAAGAGAATTTGGAGTTAATGATAATGTGTATCTGAGAAATTATGGGAGAGGGGAAAAATGGATGCCAGGTCAAATTGTTCAATGTACAGGACCTGTGTCTTATAGACATGCAGACCAGTTAAAAATAACTTGTGCAGATAATAAGTGTGAATCTGTCAATCCCACCAAATCTGAACAGTTCACACCAACTGAGTTTGTTCCACAACCAAGTTCTGTTGATATGAGTGAACCAAGTAGTCTAGAGTCAGAAAATGTAAATTCTGGAATTAATGATTTAGATCCTGGACTTCCTGAGCTAGAGAGTCCAGATGGTCAGAATCTTGAGTCACCTAATCAAAAGCCACTGAGAAGGTCAAACAGGACAATCAAAGTCCCAGATAAGTTAGACCTATGATTTTAAAAGTCAAGAGGACTTTGACATCATTGTTTTGTATTTTAATTATGTTGTGGCATATTTTGCATTTGTTTGTAAGGATGTAATCTACCAAATGATTCAAATCATATAATGTTCATGTTGCAATATATTTGTTGATTTTAGGATACTATCATTTGTTCTATTGAGAGCTGTGTTGTTGTTTACTAAGGGTAAAGGGATGTAATATATTCAGAATTGTGAAGTCAAGGGAACTCACTCTTCTTGTATTAGTCTTATATTTATAATGTTGTTTTTGAGTGATGTCCCTTATATATATATATCTTGTGACTTCCTGTTTCCGTCATGCTGGCTGATTAAAGACTATATACATCAACATGGTTTCTATCTTCAGTGTATCATAATAGAAAATATCAATCTACGACAGATTCAATTTTAGCAGTCCATTAATTATTTTTTGTTTCTAAATTAAAAAACGCTGGCTATTATTATGTAAGAATATTAACGCAACAAATACCACTTGAAATCCCCCCCCCCCCCCCCCCCCCCCAATGTTTTATCATTGAAGAAAGTTTTCTGATTGATTTAATTTTTAAAAAATTAAATCTCGTGTTGTCACTGTCGACAGTGATGTTTATCGACATTACATATTTTATACTAATACACGGTGGGACTGTAATTTCACATTCAGGCCGACTAGAACAGGAGACGATACAGAATAGTTTAGGTCGCTTTATGGCGTATCAAACGTCTTTAAGATTATCACACCCTCTGTTAAAAATGTATTACTTGGTGCATTTTCCCACTGACTGTATACACATGGAAAAACACTAAACACGTTATAAATACGTTATTCTATAATATACACGTTAGTTAAACTTATAAAAATAGAATACGCAGATATACTGACCCGAACGAAATATAATTTATACAGAAGATATATACTTTTACTATAGTTTTATCATTGACTAAGTTAAAACTTTTTCTTTTATTTCCGCTGGAGAAGCCAAATCCGGATAGAAAACCAGCCAAGTATTCTGTCGAAAATGCCTTATTAACTTTATCTGTGTAACGTCGGGAAATCAATGCCAGACGCAAACGACTGCATCTTGTTGATGGCTTGCTACACCATCAACTGGATGCAGAAGTTCAGCGTCTTAGCAGTTTCACATCCTCCGCCACACAGATATAGATAAGGCACTTTCGCCACCGTGGAAACGGGAAAATACGAGGCCTTACATTTCGTGACCTTCATACTCGCCCCAACGGACCTTCTGGCAAATTAATTTTACTGATATTTCTAAATATATGTAATCTGGCGGACGTTACAGAAAACATTCTACTTTAATTAAGTATTTTTAAATGACGTCATTTTTAGGACGTGCTTTATAAAGAAATAAACCGAGAGAGATCTCCCCTAAACTTTCTCAAATATTCTTTTATAACACTACAGGGTATGGCAACTGGGGATATAGACACTATTGTTAATCAATTTTTAATCACTCAAACGTTTTAAAATAGATTAGAATCTCGTAGAAAAAGAATTGCGCACCAAGTGAATGCCAAACAAAATGTGGAATATTATTACTACTTTATAAATTCACATGCATTTTTTGAGAAATCCGAAATAGCGTAAATTACTACTACCGGTCAACAGAAATTACTCAAAATTTGGCTAAAGGCAGAGAATTAGATCTTTTACTTACATGTGAGATTTCATTTAACTATCTAAAATAGTACTCAAGGCTTTTGAAAAATTGAGAGTAGAATAAGTTCCACTTCCGGTAATTGGAAATCGCTGAAAAGTGTATACAGATCTACAAATTTGATACAATACTTATCTATAAAATGTCATCAACCTAGCTGTAACGGTACTCAAGTTGTAGTGTTTACACACAGACACAAGGGCAGATTGGATAATCCAGTTTTTCTGACTCCTTTACGCATAAAACGCCAAAAATTTTATTAATCTGGATTTATAATTTTTGCCCGATTAAAATAGGTCCTCTATATCCCGGATGTGAACCGCCTGTTTCAGCTTAGTAAACGACTATAGTACCCCAATTTATTCATAGTATTTTGCACTCACTTAAACGAACGTAGGCGTCATAGCGAACACGGGAAGGCCCGGGCGCAAAATAGCCCCCTATCGGGGCGCCGAATGTCGCACTGATTTGATTCACTTAAAGAATATAGTAACCTTTCCAATCCAGAGTCTATTGCACTGTTTAAAACGAAATTATGTACCATGGCGATGACAGGATGGCCTAGGGCGAAAATTCGAATTCTTCCGGGGCGCCGGCGGGCGTGCCTGTTTCAATTTAGTGAACAATTACAATACCCCAAGCTTATCCGCAAACGAAAAGAAGTATGCGCAAAAAAAAAATGTCACAAATAATAACTCGCGGGAATTCCCGTTCCCGAAAAAAGATGTCTTTTATTACTTTAACTGTCTTTGATTTAAAAAATAATTAGTAACAGTAGGCCTACGTTCAGTGTATGAAATAAATAAAAGGCAGTATTTAACCTACAACGTTTCACTTGATTACTTATGTAATTATTTTTTTCCCAACACCAAAACAAAGTAATAAAAAGTTCATCCCACCCCCCATGTAATGGGTTTTATAAAGGGAAGTAATTGTGTTTTCCTAATTTTTCAAGGGACGTAAGAAGTGCTTAAGAACTAAATGTAAATAATTAGAATTTTTGTGAAAGGTGATATATATATATATATATATATATATATATATATATATATATATATATATATATATATATATATATATATTTAAATTGTGTTTTATGACCATGCCAACAATTATCATTATAAGTTTAAATAATGAAAATTGTTTTACAACATCTCCATTATTAGTTTTTTAAATCATGAATTTAGATGATGAGCACTTGAGACTTTGAAATCCACGGTTTGCCCGCTACAAACATACATAATTGAACTTTACATATTAGTTTGAATACTAATATTTAGGAAGCGATCCACGTTTTTACCCCCCCACCCCGTCACAAAATCTAGACCCCCCCCCCCCTAAAATAATGTCACACCTCAGCCTACAACCTTCCCCCCCCCCCCCCCCTCAAATATGCAGTTGAATTTTTCTGAAAACATTGAAATTTATTCCAAAATCTTGTCAGAACTCTGTCAACATAGAGAATTTTGATCAATTCCTATTACAATTTATTAAAATCGTTTTCTAAAACGCGAAATAAGGGCTAAAACTCGTTTTCTAACGGCTTTTTTATAATGCAAAATATTAATGCAGCTTTTGTTTTCATTTTTATTACTGGTATTCTACACGTGTTTGTATTAGAATACATTTGCGTTAAAAAATAATAAACTGGAAAAAAAATGAATTTGAGTATACTTGATATTACTTGGTAAAATAATATGCCACCTTAAGTACTTAAAGTACTCAATTATTTAACCTGATTATTTTTAATGGATGACTATATTCAACCAAACTATGCTTCCTTAAATGAGATGAATATTTGTAAAATTAGGATTTATTTTAGGTAATAGCTTAAAGTTTAAGTTAAACCTTATTTTTTATTCAAACACATAGCTAGAAGAGTGACATAGTTTAAGTCGCAAGTCACCAGTTGTTACTGTAGTATTTTTCAGTCAGTCTTCAAGCATCTCTGACAATTACAATGGTGAAAAACTGTTGGCAATTAAAATAGTCCTTGAACTGATAGTTCTACAGTGAACACCATTGCAAACATGACTGAGAAATTTAAAAATGTATCCATCTAATGTTAATACTATGAAACCAAAATTAATATCCTAGACCCTTAGAAGCTCCATCTCAAAACAAGTGTAGTATTCTATTAATGAGGGTCACAAACAGCTCATTATTTTTCAGTTAACAGTTGAAAAATTATTTAGTTCAACTTTTTAGATAAACTAAGAATCAATATTTAAATGTGTGCCTTAATGTTTGTCAACAACTAAGTTTGTCTGCTATTTAAAGTGTTTGCCTCATCACAATAAAAAAAAGAATTTCAAATTATGTGTCTTTGTTGGTTAATGTTCTCAATTTGCAATAAGTTATTCTGCAGTAGAACATAGTCCATGCAAGCAATTATTCATTTATACAGGTATGCGCTTTTGTAGTCACCATCATGATCAAGTATAAAAAAAAAATCAGTACAGTACTCTTTGTAAATGTGCATGTCCTTCAGTAATTTAAAAAATTGATTTGTGAACTCTTAGTTGCTTTTTAATTCAATTCAAAATTTATTTAAGTTCAACACTATCGTGGTGAATGTACCTTAAATTTGCAATATTTTTTTCAGTAATGTAACAAAGAACTTCACTAAGCATTTAAAGAAAAAAACAGCAAGCAAAAGTAACATATCTAAGTGTACACAATTTATTCAAAATTCACCAATGATGCTCACACCTTCCTGTGTCTGCCTCTCACTTCATTTAAAATATTCCAGTAACTAAGTATGGGGAGCAACAATTCTTTAAAATATTTTACTGTTCCTTTTTTTTAAGTTCCTCTCAAAGAGGACCATTCTTCCATTGTGACAAAGCTACCTCTGTAAAACATTGGTAATCTGTATTATGTACATATATCACTGTCACATTATTACAAATACATTTTAAATTTTACCATCTGAAATTTAATAAAGACTCAAAAAGATTAATAAATTTAGAAAATTAAAGCATTGCTAATTGTATTTTTACATGCATGAAGAAATGTTATTTTAAAATTACCGACTGGTAGTTTCAACAAATATTTTGCAAATTCTAGCTTTTATTTGAAAAATATTCTGCAGAAATAGAATCTTTATCAAGCGAAAATGAGGAAATTGTGTTTGCTTGACTTTCAAAAACAAGTTTTAATAACGGTGTATTGACTACTTTTAATATTTTTTATACTGATGAGCCCAGGTTTCATAAAATAATTCATGAAAATGTACGCAAGTGGAAACAGGAATATATTGTGCTATTTGTGTACAATAACTGAAAATTTCTCAGCTGCCTCAACTCTCAAAATTAAGCAGACTTAAGTAAAACACTGCAGAGTAAAGTAATCTCATGTTTAGGATAAATTCAAAGTGGCTACTAAAATAACAACCTTAACTACTGTCACAAGTCTGTTTAAGAAAATACTTGGCTACTTTACAGTACCATTGTGACTTTATGTTCTACTGTGCTTATAATGCCTAAATTTTTAAATTAAATATTTAAAAAAAAAAAGATGAACAACAATGACAACATAAATCTTTCAAGTGAAACCTGTAACCATTTTTCCTTACTGTTTAAACTTTAATTAGGAAAAGTAACAGAGCACAAAATACAATATCACAGTTTCATTGAAAAAAAACACCAAACACAATGATTTATATTCCTTAACTTCCATTTGTTCTCCATACACAGATGAAACAGACACATGTGGAAAGCCTAATGTATTTACAATTACGTTTATAAGAAACTAGCTTGCACTTCAAACAATATTTTCAACAGTAAAGATGGGGAGGGAAAAAATGAATAAAGAAATAAAAGAAATGAACCTGACCTTGGATGCTCTGTAGTGTTGAGAACAGACAACACTACCCTTAGCCTAATTTTATTCACACAAAAAAAAGTAAGAAAGCAGCCATCAGGTGCAATAACGAAAATCTTTTGATACAAACAGAAATGGATGTTTATATTTCATATATTTAAAATAATTTATTGATGGCAGAATCGATCCTCTAAGCTTGGTACATAGCTAGAAAGATATGAAAGTCCTCAGCGTCTAACATAAAGATTAGTGAGGTGGTGGATCTGTATCAGAAGCTCCTCGCTGGGGTGGCATGTGTTTGAGCATGCTTCTTTTCACAGAGGCGGGGTTTATATTCCTTTCCCTACCCCCGTGTGGAGAAGATGAAGCCCTGCCTTGCATCATATTAATTCCACCAGAAGAGCCCAAGTTTGGGCCATGGACTGCCACTGTATTAGGAACAGTGATAGGACTACAAACTTGACGAGTAGTGCCTGCTGATGCAGCACTGCCCGCGTGACCCCAAGGAATTTCTCTATAAGCACCAGCAGACACTGGCCTCACCCCACAATTACCAGCTACTTTTTCTACAGCTCCCCCCACAGATTTATCCACAGCTCCAGGATGTCGGTGCTTACTGTGTGATTCATTTGTGTTCCTGTTTTCTTTTTGAATTGTTGACACTTCTTGCTCTACGTCAGATTCTGGTGAACGCAGAGCTTCCAATATGGAACTTGGATCATCCCCATCACTTTCTGTTAACAAACTGAGTTGCTCTGTCAATGTGGCCAGGAGCAACTCCTGTACAAATACATTGCGCTGTGAGATATCGCTATCACCAGCATTTGCACTAAGGTCAGATCCGGAACTTTCTGCACACAATCTGAAATGAAATTAAACATGGTTTATATTACAGTTACATTAAAATCTCTATACAAAAGACAATCTGTTTACTGCCTACATTTTTAAAAGACCAGCATTTGAGCATCATTATGAACATATAGAAACTACATTGAACAAAATCATACACTCAAGTTCATTATAACAACTTATATTCAATGTCTTTCCCCTACTGCACATGTTGGGCAACACACCAGTTTATTCATCATCAGGACACAACAAGCCATAAAGAAACTAGTAGATAACACATGTTGTAAGAAACACAATGTTAATGTCTTACTTTGCTAGCAGAAATTGGGAATCTGTTTTGGTGACTGTGGCAGGGATAGTAGTGGGTTCTGGTTGAGTAGGAACTGTGTTATTTGTAGTTGGTGGTTTACTGGGTTCTGTTTGTCTACGTGGTAATCTTTCCAATTGTTGTCTAAAACAAAACAATTCATTATTACAACCAAAATTATAAAATGGAAAACATAAAGAAGCAATACATATATAGGCTTTTAACATGAAACACAGCAAACATTCAGGGTTCATACAAACTTGTAACCAGAAACACTTAAGTTATATTTTCCAGTGTGTTGAAAAACAAATATGCATTAAAAAGCAGACTACTAAGCAAAAACTGAAAAACTTATATCCCTTTATCCAATCTGCAACACAAGGTACTAGCAAACTGACTAGCTTCTTTATAACTGGAAAGTGAGAAAGAAAAAAAACCTGTCTGAGAGGATATTGTCAGGTGTGCTTCTGAATCCAGTTTGATGCAGGAATGTAGCTTGGTTCAGGATCTGGGGGCTTCGCCCCCAGTAGCTGAAGAAAAATCTAACATTAGGCCCAAGAATATGATATCATTAAATAGTTTAGTGAAAATAGGGTTCTGTTGTTTCTAAGAAACATTTATTTTTCCAAGCTTATAAAGCAAATTGTACAGAACACAAAGATGTGTGTATGTGCCAATGTAGTATTCATTTAGTTATTTTGTTTAAAAACCACTATTAGCAGTCTTATACATGTGAATCTTAGGGATCAATGGTATCTGGTAGAAATAAGTTTAGAATTCAATGGTATCTGGTAGAATTAAGTTAAGAATTCAATGGTATCTGGTAGAATTAAGTTTAGAATTCAATGGTATCTGGTAGAAATAAGTTTGGAATAATAATGAATGCACAATCGCAGAAAAGAACAAAAATAGTGTGAGTCAAATTACAAAATAACAATTAGAAACTTTTAAGAGTTGAAACCAGAGCAGCTTGTTTCTTTGTTTACTAGGACAATAACAAAATCAATACATCAATACAGAGCAGTAAAGTGAGCAATCTAGTTTATTTTAACAAAGAGTTGAGAAACAGTGATAAAATATTGAGTACCGACCAGCAGAGAAGAATCAAGTCATAAAAATGTGTATGAACCCTGAATGTAAATAAGGCAAGTAACAGTATGAAAAAAGCTCAAATTGCAGTAAAAAACAAACACTAACAGTACACAGCCTAAATAACACAGCTAAATATTTATACTCACTACCCTTAAGCTTCACATACTTGCTGACTGACCTTGTAGATTGCAACTGCATCTCCAACTGCTGTAACTGAGAAGACACACTCTGGGCTGCTGCAGCACGACTTCGCACACTTGACAACTGTGACAAAAGCTCTGGAAAAAAAGCTTTGTAAATTTATGACCCGTGATGCTCAGTTCTTAGTCAATACGAACTGGAACTATTTTTTAAACTATCACAAAAGGCAGACAATAAACCTGCAATAGGATCCATGTTCTCGCGACTACTGGGTGAAAGACCTGTCAATGTTGATGCTCCTGAACCAAAATGTTGCATATTAGCCCGGCGTGTCCTAGACCCACCTACACCACGGCCTGGGTTTGGGATACGTCGTACATGTCGTAAACCTGGTGGTTCATCGTTCTTTAGTTAAGGGGCAATAATAATGTGTTTCTTTTACAAAAATTATACCTTTGTCCAATGTTTTGTAGCTACAATTTACTAACAAAATATGTTAAGTATGTATCCAATTTAAATTTAACAACAACAGTAAATTTTCTACAAATGCTAGAATTAGTTTAAGACAGTGTGCATAGTATAATACAACTACAGTTCAAGTTTATTGAAGGATATGAAATCTCTAGGTGTCCTGTGCTCAACAGTCAAATGAGAGGCAAAATCATCAGTCACATGATTGGGGTCTCCTCCAGGCAATGATGCACAAATAGGACATACCTAAAACACAAATTTCTATTACCAACAAAATAAATGGGAAAAATGAAATAACCTTGCTGCATTTAAATACAAACGACTGAAATTAAAGTAAATATCAATTACTTACTACTTCGGCAGATGTATCTGAATGATCTGCTGAAACATGCTCATGAAGGCTAGATTCTGAAAATCCCATTCTTGAACAATGTGGACAGGTATAAGATTGTGGCTGCTCTGCAGTTAGGGCTTCCCCACCATAGAATACATCTATTGGATGGAACGTGTTTATAAATGAAATAACTTAATAAGCACAGGTTTAGGTAATTTTAATCTAACTGGGATAGAATAAGTGTGTTTTGTAAAATCAATTTAAACTTCCTACCAAAATCTGCTCTAGTTAAAATACACTGCATTGGATGGTCTGTAGTATGCCTTGTTGTGGTAGCACCAGCATCATAACAAGTGGAACAGAGGTCATAGTCATAGCATATCAAACATTTGTATCTTTTGCCACGAAAATTGCCTTTCATGCATGAATCACAACTTACACCTAAGGATTAAATCAATGGCATTTTATAAATATATGCATACTTTAAAATCTAAACCTTAACAAGTCATACCAACATCCTATTCAAAAAGTTTTGAAATCTAAACAAATGTATGTTAGATAGAGCAATATAGTAAATTTCCTTTTCAAACCTGACAATCCATGGGGTAAGTTACGTAGAGTTCACCTGTTTCTGTGACCTCGGCATAAGAAGGGATAGTGTGGTCTGCACTATGCTCAGCCATCTTTACCTCCCTATCTTAAATTAGGTACCAATGGGAGTGAACTACTGACTTAAACTCAGACTTGGGCAATTAACTTGTGTCAAAAATATGTAAGTATTTAATACAACTTTTAAGGCAACATCAACAAATCCAGTTAAATAATATCCAAATTTTTAACTCCAACATTATCTTTTGAAAATGTGAACCTTAAACCCTAGAATGGGTAATGTATATATGATAAATATAACCTCTGTTAAACATATAATTTTAAAAGATGTGACACCCTTCATTAAAAAAAAACCTTAAATTGCAAATAAAATGTATAAAAATTGTACTAGATTTTAAATGCATACCTAAATATGCAGGATTGGCTGCATCTAAATATCTAGGGTTAGGGTGTAAGAAAATCACTTAACATCCTTATAAAGGCAGGTAACAAATTAACTTTTAAAGTTTTGTTTAAATATCTAAAATTAACCATGGTAATAAAAGTGGTCTTTAACAAGCCAGTTTCAGGATGCATACTTTTTTTACATCTAAGTCACACTTAGTTTAGTCCATTTTCTTGATATACAATAGATTAAATTCAGCTCTAATTGGGTACCAGAAACACTGTCATGTTATTGTTAGGGAAGCAAATGCAGCTGTGCTGCGTATTGCTGACCACAATATCCCCATATATTCCAAGTTCATGGAAACAGATGAACTTTAAATCATCTGCTCTTCGTGTCTTGGGCACAAATGGGAAAAGAATTTAATATAACAAGTTACAAACTTCTGATGAGATCCATTCATTTAAGAAATCTAGCTGTTAATATCTTTGTTCTAATTAAACTTTGGCAATTTAAAGGGATAAACAGTTTGAGAAATTGAAATTCTTAAATAACCAAGTGACTCTGATTTAAGCCATTTTACCACAATTTCAGCTGCTGTTAAAAATTAAAATTAAGTTCGGTCTTTTTCCAGACCTAAATCAGAAAATTTCAGATATAACTGACATTAATCCAGGTTATTTGACTTTGTCTCCTCTGAACTATATAAGCTGCCACAACCCTTTAATTTTCAAAACATAAATATCTAATAAAAATTAGGCCCTAACATGTACTATTTTCCCCCATTCATTTGGAAACATCTAAAAACCAGGTATTTTAAATAATTCACTAAAGCTGATCCACAATTCCAGACATTTTCTTTCACATGTATTATGTAGGCATAGTTAATAAAGAAGACTACTAGTTAACAACTTTAAATACTCAAAATAGAAATTCAATAAAATCTAATTCTTCAGAGTTCTTATGAAGAGAATGTAATTGCAAAAATAGGAGAATAAATTCAACAAATCAGATTTAATGTTGTCACTATCAAAATACAGACAATTGCTCATACTATCTATAATTTGGTTTAAAAAACTATGCAACTCATTTTTGGCAAAATACAATTGAAAAAACTACATTGTTAACATCTGGCAAGCAGAGCAATAAAATTTTAAGTTACAAGCTTGTTTAATTACTTTAAAGTTATGTTTTCTTTTTATTATGAATTAATTAACTCTTAAAGCTTTGTCATTATAATATATGCATATTTAGGGGTAAGTAGTCTGATCATTTCATCCCGTTTTTGCCCAAGACACATAGGGCAGCTGAGGTAGAGCTCATCTGTTTCAAATACTTCTTCATTTGTTGTGGTCAGCTGCCTTAGTTTACCTAATGTGAGTCAGGTACCCATCAGAGCTGGGTTGACTCAGGGATTCCCTTGAGTTACACGCCCGGGATCCTATTTCAAGATTATTGGGTTAGCAATTGTAAGCCCTACCGTCCAACTAAGCTGTCACATTATTAGTCTAATTAGAAAGAACTAAACTTTTATTCTGCTCTGTACAAAATTATAGCCTATGCTACAATGACAATATCACTTTTAAAAAGGAAATTTATCACTATTGTTTTGTAGAGATATTTTTTTTTAAATCTGCCCTAGATACATAAACAAAATAGCTTATATTTTTGATGGGAAAAGAATGAATATCATTCGTCCTTTTAGATCTAGTGTCACATAAAAATAAGGCCAAGCCTACTCTCAGTCAGCTATAATTTTATGCCAATAAATATCTTACAATAATAGCATTTATCATGAATGGAGAATGAGGTATAAATTACAAGAGCAGTGCTATTTTTTATTGGGTTTATTTTTATAAGAAAAAGTATTATACTTTAAGTTCACATCTGCCACTGAAAATATTATTTATGAGCTCTAAAGTTAAAGTAATTAATTAGGGCTTAGGCTTAGGGCCTACCTAATAGTAATATTTTAATGATAATAATCATGCATCACTTTTGTAGTTCATGATGACATTCAACTGCCAATCGACATTTTAAAATTAATCTAGAATAAAAATCAGGTGTAATAGCATGTCCTTTTTAAACATACATTATTCATGTTTCTATTGCAATTTTCAAAGGTTTCTAGGTGATATAACTTTTTTCTGCAAATTTGCCTGTAATGACATCACAAATGGAATAACCTTTTAGGATGAGGATACTATATAGGTATTTTATATATATATGTATATAATATAGGTATTTTAGTAGTATTGTAATCTTGTCCAATTTTAGGGTTTTAGTTTCTAGGCGTAGGGTAGGACAAGGATTGGGGTTAGGGATAGTATTGATATTAGCAAGTCATAGGTGTATTGTATTTAGTTAACTACCAGAAACCTAACACACCTTTTTTAAGAATATTCTATTACTGTGCCATTATCAGACACTGGTATAAGAAATCCACTACAAAAATTGTTATCATTGTTATGAGAATGTAAGTAGCAAAAAGAATGGTTTCTTTTTTGATAATTATTAATCAGTAGGCCTAGCAAAAATAAATGTAGGCCTATCACTGTTGATTATAACTTAATTATAAGCATTTGAATATTTGTTCGATCAAAAGTAGGCTTGTTGTAGACTAAATTTTGCATGTAAGAAGTACATTTGGACTGGAACATTCCACTCAGTAACTTCAAAGTGCAAGTTCAATCAACTGGGATAAGATGGACAAATTGTAACATTTCCTACAAAAATCTATCTAGATCTCTATCTACATCCAGATTTCTACATTTAAATGCGATTTAACAGTATAATGTGGATCTATTGATAAAAATAACAGTTTAGATCATGTATGATTCAATGTGGAGATGAAATGTAAAAGCACGATTGTCATTACGAGAGTAAAGCCTGTTTATTTTTATCTGAGTTTATCAAAATCATGACTCCCAACAAAATAACTTATACCTTCATGACGGGACATTCTAAGCTCCCCACTCGTCAAATGTGATCGAAAATGTTGTTGTAAAGGCGTTTTCGGTTATTAATAGAATTTCGAAGCATTCAAAATAAGTTTAAACCACAAATTTGATAACTCCGAAACACATCTGATAATATTTTTCGAAGATCAACATACAATCAGCTTCCAGTGGCCATGATGACGTCACGTGAAATCTCGTTATAACACGAACAAAATGTTTTTATTTGTTTTTATTATGTATTAACTGATTAAAATCTTTAACAAAGACATTTTTTGTATCGATAGTTCGTTAACGTATAATTTTAACTATTAGAGTTTTTTTAAATAAAATATTGCTGTTTAGAATCATGCTTGATGTAACTTCAATTATGGTGGTTTGGCTTAAAATATATTTTTAATAAACTTATTTTTTATTGTAATAATCAACCAATTAATTATTTGTATAATTATTTGTAAACAGCTCATATTTTTATGTTTCAAAACACTGAAATCATGTTGTTATTTATTTTAATAATAATACTGTCTGTCTCCTCTTTCAAAAATGCTCTAAACTTAAAATCCAATCCGTTTTCTTTATGCCAGATTGTCCGTTAATAGAGCTTTTAATTTATTCTTATAACGCAATAAACATTTTCAAGCAATATTTTTTAAAATCGTTGGCAATTTTGAATTATCATTACCTTCGCAATGATTGAAAATGCTATGGTTGATAATGATATAGGCCTACGTATTACCAATAGCAGGTCTCCTCTTATTAGACTGCCATATTAGTAAAGTCTAGAAAAATCTACAACAAATGATTCTACTTCTACGCCTTCCTTGTAAACTGATGAATCTTTATATTTGCAACACTCTGACCAATAAACCTTACACATTTTCGCATTTTCGCTTTCAAACCTCTTGTTAGCTGAGTTTGGAACGTTTCCTTTCCTTTATTAAAGTCAAACAGCATATGGCCATATAAGTTAATTATTCTTATGTGTGTTTGTAACGAAACTCGAATGTGATGTTAGTAGGCTACACAGTTCTATGTTGCAGGCCCACTAAATTATAATAATATCCAGAGTTTCTTTCTCTAGAAGAACATCCACTGCCCCACCTCTGTTGACATAATAGAAAAGTACACAATTTATTTAGAAAATATATAATTTTACCAGTGCCCTCCTCTCCCAACACCCCCCATGTATGCAAGAAATCCTACAAGTCCCAACCAAAAATGACTCTGCTCCAAACTTCTGTTAACTTTTTCTTATTTTAATAGAGCAATTTATTTTTTTAAATACTAATTGAGTGTTGTGTTATGCTTTTGTTGTAGTTTTTTTTTTTAAGTTATGGGCTTTTACATTGTTTTTGATGTACTTTTTATGTATACCTCGTGTTGTAACCCTGTGCAGGACGCTCAATCAACGGACTCCATGTGCTCTGGTAGACGCTGTAGAGGGGTTGGCAGCAGGTATCGTTACTGAAATAGCAATATAAACACAAAGTGGTCTTTCAACATGGTTGCCCTTGGCGTTGAAATATCACTTTCTGTTTATATTGCTATTTCAGATAGCCGCTGGGAAACTGACGGCGCCCAACCGTACTCAACTACCGGGGCGCTGGATGACGGCCCTTGTTTGATTTGGTGAACGGAAAAAAAGTCAGAGGAAAAAAAACACAGAAAAAAAGTCACAGTTTTTGCTAGGAAAAAATGTCACAGAAAAAAAAGTCACAGTGGAAAAATTTAATCGGAAAAAAGGTCACAGAAATAAAGCCACAGAAAAATAGTCACAAAAATCTTTTTAGAAATATTTTGATCTATTTGTTAAGAATTATAACATTCTGTATGTTTATTGTTGTGGTTTGTATTTTTTGATAGCATAAATTATTTATAGACGTTAAAAGCATTATGGTTTATATCAATTGTAAATAAAAATACTCTAAGATAATTTACACAATAATCTCAACTTATGTTACGTATTTAGTTAAATACGCGGAAGAAAAGTTAATAATAAAAGAAATTTAGGCACATCGTGTTTTGCATATGTTTTGCCGTAGGCTATTCTCTGGTTGGCCTCTCCTCGGTAGGCATTGTCCGAACATATTTTGTGTTGTTGACGTTTTGTGTCAATGACAGCCTTTGAACCTTGTCGGCTTTCTGTTTTGATGTTATGTGATGCGCGTGATAAATGTGGGCAGTAAAGGTGGTTGAACTAATCATAACTATTGTTGCGATGAATTGAGGGCAGCAAGTCAGATGAGCTTACCATTTAATGCTGGTATTTAAAAAAAAACCGATGAAAACCGTGGACTTTAGAGCATTCCATTAAATGCTGTTAATATTATGTTTAACCTAATAACAATCTGCATACTTCATACTAAGTATTTTTAGATGAATTATAAAAATTACTATGCGTATACAACCTACACACATTACATTACATTTAAGTTAATTTGCACTCTCTAAATATTTAATACATAAAAGTATTAACACATTTCATGCAAATATATATTTGTGACTATTTTTTCCTGTGACTTTTTCCTGTGACTTTTTTTCCAGTGACTTTTTTTCTGTTTTTTTTTTCCTGTGTTTTTTTTTCTGTGACTTTTTTTCCTACAATCGTTTGATTTAGTCATCGATTATAGTGGCCCAACGTATCTGTTATATCAAATATTAATAATATTAATAATTTATAATAACTACCAGAACTTAACCAGACGCATTAAACCCCATCAACAACGCGTGTCTGAAATAGAGGTTTATTACTGTATTTAAGTTAATATTCGTTTTTTAGTCTATACTTTCGAGGCCGGTCGTGTTTTCTAAATATTAGTCTAACCATTTTAAGTTATTTTAACAATGGCGCAGGGTCGCATTCTCGTGTATGGTGGAAAAGGCGCTCTTGGAAATGCCGTCGTTTCTTTTTTCAAGGCCAAGAGTTATGTATGTTGACTACAAATGTTTCGATTTAGATCTATCTAGAGCTCAGCTCTGTATAGATAGTGCATTATATTATATTAATCATGCTTAAAAAATGCTGGATTTTGATCCCAACACAGTCAAGACTACTACACAGATCTAACTAAAATAATTAAAAATATGGGGGGGGGGGGGCGCAGTGGAGAGAAGAAGGGGGGGGGGGGGGGTAACCACACAAAAAAAACATATAGGGGTCATCCATAAATAACGTCACACTCGTAGGGGGGAGGGGGTCCGTAATTTTGTGACGATGTGTGATGGAGGGGAGGGTTCAGATGTTGCAACGTCACAAAATGAAAAAGCAATGTTGAATGTTAGAAAACGAATTTTAGACGTTATTTCGCGTTTTAGATAACTGTTTTAATAAATTGTAATAGTTTAGACAAGATTTTGGAAAAATATCTATGTTTTAAAACAATTCAACTGCAATTTTGAGGGGGGGGGGGGGGGGTTGAGGTGTGACGTCATTTTAGGGGGGGGGGTCTGGCCTTTTGTGACGGAGGGGAGGGGGGAGGTAAAAATCGTCCAAAAAAAAGCATGACCCCATACATAGGCCTAATAGATTCAAGATCTAGCCCAGATCTTGTGTATTTAGACTATTTAGTAAATAGGCCTAAATGCTAAATATTATTTACATAGGCTACATCAATCAACTTATCACAGAAACTTTGGGCCCAGATGGCAGATCTAGTATGGAATTGTAAATTAATGTATGGCAATGTATGGCCTTATTTATAGGCCTTATTTATTAGTATTAGGCCTACAATATTAATTTGTATATATACTATATAGCAGGACTATATTAAATATTTAAACTTTAAACCCATATTTTATTTCTAGTTAAGTAAATCTGATTTCAAATACCACTAAGAAAAATATTTTCTTTTCAGTGGGTTGGTTCCATTGACTTAGCTGTAAATGAACAAGCTGATGCCAATGTTTTGGTGAAACCAGACAGTACTCTGCCTGATCAAGAAGCAGAAGTGACTACCAGAGTTAGTGAATTACTTGGTGCAAATAAACTGGATGCTATTTTTTGTGTTGCTGGTGGTTGGGCTGGAGGGAATGCAAAGAGTAAGTAGATAGTGCTCAGCACATAGAATGTGGATTGCACTTAGAATGTAGCATTAAATCAATTGCATTTGGGTGATTTAGCACAGTAGATCGTGCTTAGCACATAGAATATAGATTGCATGTAGTACAGTAAATTGTCACTGTGCTTGGCACATAGAATGTAGCTTTTAAGTAGATTGGTTGGGTTGAGCACATAGTAATTCCGCATGTGGGTATAGGTAAGTGTGTGTAATTCAAGAAAAGATTTGAAACAACAAATTTGTTCTTCTAAAATTGCTGGGAGCACAACATTACACTGGATTTTTTTTTCTGTTGTTGCATAGAGAATTTAGAGAGAGGCTTAAAACAGTGATACTAGTAGATAAATAACTTTGATACACCTTATCGGCATTTTTACTAAAGTACTAGGTACTAAAATATCTTTTTCTCCTGGAAATTCTAATCTGGAAATCTTGATCAGTGGACTTAATGCAGTTTTGAATGTCAAGGACAGTGTAGTCTGGTTCTGGGAAAACACTTCTAGTCTGTGCCAGGCCTCAGTATACAGCCAGTTTACCTGACCTTAAAACTAAATGTCTGTCAGTAGTTTACAGTGTTTGTGGGGGTTACTGTACAGATTTTTGGAAAAGATTATTTTATTTTGTGAAATGTTTTCCCAGAAATTGTCGAGCCAGCAGATGCCATGTGGAAACAGTCAGTATGGCCTTCCATTATCACAGCCAGCCTTGGATCAAAGTACCTGAAAGATGGAGGACTTATTACCCTCCCTGGGGCTCAACCTGCTATTAATGGCACGCCTGGTAAGTTTAGGTTCTTGAACTTACGGAAGTCGGTAGGAATGTGACTAATTTTTCATGTGGTTTCACTTTTCAGGTATACATTCTCCACTCGTATATTTAGGTTACTTATTTTCATCAAAATTTCTGAAGCATTTTAAAAAAAAATAGTTTTGACAACCCAAGTTCTTACAAGTATCCAAAAAAATTATCTTCACTCATTTATTTCCATAATTACTCCTGAGTAGTGAGACTTTTCTAACTTCTACCTCAAGTTTTTTTTAAAATGTTCACAATAAAGTTTTTAAGTTTTTTTTTTCCTTAACATTTTATGCACTTAATGAAATCTATTTGTTGTGTAACAATGGTGAGAGAAATGGCCACAATTTTTTTTACCATGATGCCATGGCGATTGAGTAAAAAATGGTTTATAAATTGTGATTAAGCAAAAGAAGTGTGTGTGTTACATATATTTATATCATTCTTCTTTAAGGAATGATTGGTTATGGGCTAGCAAAGGCAGCTGTACATCAGCTGACAAAAAGTTTGGCAGGGGAAAACAGCGGTCTTCCATCAAGTGCCACAGTTTTAGCAACTCTTCCGTAAGTTTCTGTTTTGAAAATTGAACTTATTTTTATGTAACATATAGGTCTTGTTATTTATAAAAAATGTAAAACTTCTGTTTGAGGTACATATTTAATTTTTTTAAAATTTGCTTTTTTCTCCTTCAGGATAACTTTGGACACTCCTATGAATAGAAAATGGATGTCATCTGCTGATTTTTCTACCTGGACATCTCTTGATTTTGTCTCTGAGTAAGTTTTTTCTCTTCAAGGAGACATCCTTTGTACATGCTTACTGCAGTAGATATTAATATCCATAACTTTCTAAGCATTTTAAATTGACATATCTTGTTTTCATTACATTAACAACTGAAGTAGTAAATTAAAATAAATAATTGAGACATTAATTACTGTTAGTAGGGTAGGTAGTTTTTTCCTGCTATAGTAGCACATGAGAAATGTATTGTCCTCCATTCCATACAGATTGTTTTACAAATGGCTCAACAAAGAGGAACTACCCCCATCAGGGAGCCTGGTACAGTTAATCACCAAAGATAATAAAACTGAACTGGTTCTGGCTTAAAACACCAGGAACTAATTGTGTGGGGAGAAAACATTCCAGGCAGTAAACTTGCTGGCGCCTTAGTCAACACATACAAGCAATAGTACAGAGTAGCAGAGCTGCATCATTGGAGGCTTTAGTGTTCAGATTAGTCACTACAACTACATATTAGAAATCTGCTGTGTTGAGTAGCACATGGAGTAATAAATGGTGCATGGTTTTCTTTATCATTGGTTACTACATACTAGTGCCCATTAGTAGTGCATGTAGGCTAATACAAAAAAATCAACCGAGTGTTCAGTCTTTGTAGCCTTTACAATCAAACTTTTATCCACACAGTTTTTTGTAATCTAAACATTAATTAAGAACATTCAATATTTTATATTTTCAATAAGAGTAAAAACTTTGGTATTTTGTCCTTTTCCATTTATTTCATCTTTGTGTGAAAAAGAAAGTCAGGATTCATCTACACTTATTGTCTGATTGCTCAAACTATATATAGATTCTGTTATTAACACATTTTTACATACAAGGTTTAATTATATATTATTAGTGATATGATTTTTTGAAAATGTCAGCCTTTCATTCAAGTTTTTTTTTTTTTTTAAAGTGAATTTTTTTTTAAAAGCAAAGACTTTTTTCTTTGATTTTTCTTTTTTTGTAACATTATAATTATATTGAAAAAGGGGGAAAATATAACTTTGAAAATTGAATGTAATGTGACACATTGCTCTTTACATATCACTATTTAAATTGAAATTATTTTTATGACTATTTTGTTGAGAATGTGTTACCATTTGTCATTCAAACCTAGTAATTTGAAAAAAAAATTGCATTTAATTTTGTTAATTAGTATATAATAAGTAATTGTTAATTATTTTTGTCATCATGACCTTTACACTATGTGACAGCTTTTTTGTTTTGTTTTTGCAGGCATGACAATTTATTGGTGTACAACATTTGAAAGTAGTTCTTGTTTGAATCTTTGTATAGATCTAATATTCATGCTAATAATAGATCCTAATATCAAAACTTTTTTTCCCCTTGTTTCTAGGACATTTGTAAAATTTACTAGACTCAATTATCAAAATGTTATTGTTACTTTTATTGATTTCATGACATGCAAGTATAGCATACTAATATTATTGGTACTGGGTTTTGCTTTGTTTTAAATTGTTGATGTTATCCTTTTGTGTAGCTTAACAATAAAATGAGCAAACATTAGAAGTGCTTTTTCTCATTTCTGTTATGTTGATACTTTGTTAAGAAATGTGTTTTGAAACTCAATTTCTTGCTGGTTCTCATTAAAATAAAGCAACACTTTTTAAACTCTGTTTTGGTAAGGGAAGCACAAAATTAATTGTAATAAAAAATTAAACGGGAAGATTTAAAAATATTAACTAGCTCTGTAAAACCAGTCTAGGAAAAAAAAGGTCAGAGCATTATGAATCTCACTGCACCAAACATAAAGTAGGTGCATTTATTCACAGAACGACTTGTTCAAATGAAAGGGAACTAGAAAAAGAAATAGTCATCTTATGAATTTATGCAAATTCATCTAAGTAATACCCTTTCTAGAATCACACAGAGCCTGTTTCTAGGAAGACTGGTGTGATTCTAAAGGTGACTTCATGACAACAATACCACTCTGGGTACAGCAGAGTAGGATATAATTTGGAGCCTTTACAGACTGAATTGACAACTGATATATGTATGTTATAAAAAATGTAGTTGGTTATTTAAAAACAGAAAAAAATCCTTATCGTAACTAAATTTTAGATGAATATTTTAACAAAGAGTAGGTTTTTTTTATTGTTGATGCAAGTAGACCTCTTCAGCTAACCTCCCTTAAAGACTGTCTTCACATTTACAAGTGATGTAAATAAGAAACCAGAGGTGTACAAAGCAGATGGTCAGCCAGAACATTTTAAAATCAAGCCAGTATAAAAATCTCTAAACTTCAAGCAACAAAAGGAAAAAACGAACACATTTTTGTTACACAAACAAAATATATTTTTCATTCTGTATGTCATGGTAGACTTTATAAATTTTAAAACAACTATGGACCTAAAACTTTATTTACACCACATCATGCTTGAAAAGGTATGTTGAACAAAAATATTGCTAAAAACATTCATGGCTATAATAAACAAGTATACAGACATAGAATACACAATTGAATGTAAATAAATGCAAACTAAGTTGTTTAGAAAGAAGCTACTTTGTTTGCTGCTAAAGTAGAAAAAGTGTTGTCTATTTTTAAAAAAATTGAAATCAAGTTAGTTATTGCTTTCTTTTAAGTTTGAGACAGTTGTTAAATAGCAAAATATTTTCCAAGTTGTTAAGCCTATTTTTAAATCTGTATATCAATAGAATGATGTTAGGTCATTTTTCATTCTTCCTTTAAAATACCTTACTGTTTCACTGAAAATGAGTAGACTATACAACATAAGAAAGTGGAAAATAAGTAAAATCTAACTTACCAGTTCAACATAAAAAGGGTTTCACTTGATTAATTACAATAATATCATTATAAAGAGCAATGGCAGTTAACTTGTTTACATGAACATATTATTTGGATCATAAAATATGAATTCAGGGCTTCCATATGAACAATAGCCAGATTTGACATTAGATGTGGTTTAAATAAATATTACAAATTAATAAAATTCCATTAAAAAGTTAATTGTTTTGATTTACCAAATTTATGTTGTAACAAAAGCAGCAATTAAATTTTTATGCTAATGCACACTTTACCATTTTCTTTCATTCATTAGCTATAAAAAGCAGTTAACTTATTATTGGTTAAAAAACAATTTTTTTTTAAAAAAAAGGCTCATATAATATAAAAAATTTAAGCATTGTACAAAAGTTTTTAGTATATATTTTGTTCGTAGTTCAGTTAAAATGTGTACTGAACATTAAAAAGGATTTAAAAAATAATTTAAATTACAACCAAGCTCAAAATTCACAACACTTGTTAAGATTATACACATTTTATAAAGTATAAATAAACAGCACAGTTTCGTTGTGAGTTTATGAAAAAATTAAAAGCCTTCACTGTAACCTTCTCTAAGTATCACTTTCTCACAAGATGATTAAACTTAGTGGTTACAAAATTCTAGCAACAAACTTTTAAATCTTCATATAAATATTTATATTATTTATAAATTAGCAATATTTTTAAAACTAGTAAAGTTAATACTAAAATGCATTTAAAAGAAAAAACAGGGGCCACAAGAGTGAGACATGTTTTTGCTGAGGTTGTAATAAAATGTATTTGAATGAGCATTCTACAGGGATTCTGTATAGCTAAGTAAAGTAAGGACTTCATTTACTTATTACTCTACCAGTTGCATTAGTTTTTATTTAGAAATCTCCTTTTTTGTCAGGAAAGAAAATTTAGGCCTTAGCAACTGTGGGAATTTTAAGATAATTAAATGTTTCATTCACAAAATCAGGGGGGAAAGCAAAAAAAATTCCATCATGCACAATTTAAAAGGACTATTTATCATTGTAATGCTGGAGCTTATTGCCTGATCAAAAGTAAAATCCATTCATTATCAGCTGTTTCAGCAAAAAAAATATTTCTTAAAATGTTAGAACATTGTCATTAAGAGAATAAAAGCAAATAATGAGATATAACTTAATGATTTTGTTCTTCACCCGTAGTAATAGGATATATGCCACAAAATATCAAACACTGTCACGTCAATTAGTATTGTAAAAATATAACTAAGTTAAGTTTTGTGACTCATGAAAAAATCATGATGGAGGACATTCATCAAAATATATTTTAAGAAACTAAAATGTATGTATAGGTAATGTAAAGATAATGAGCATATGTTAAATACATGACTGACATACTTGTTTTACAGGCAACTTAAAAAGGGACTTTTGTAAAAAAAAATATGTCACTTTAGACTATTGTAATACAGCGACCAATTGTAAACTAAAATTCAAATATACAAATCTTACAAAAAAATGTTTTAAGTGTATTTAAAGATATAAGTTACAAACAATAGATGTTGAGATTGAATAAATTTAAAAAAAAATCAAACTGAAGATGCTGCTGTAAATAATAAAGTGCATTAGCACAAAAAAACAGACAAAAATTACCTTTATTTACATCTTGAAACTGACAGCTCTTTACAAAACTATCATCTTATTGCAAAATAAGATTTTTTCTTTAAAAGGTAACAATACATAATAAAATTATGATATAACTTACAAAAGAATGTATTTATAAAATATCCAGGAAGAGTGTGATATTGCTCTGATAAATGAACTTTTCTAATCAAAATGAAGCTCACACATCTATTCAATACTGTTCAGATTTAGTCAGCATTCATTATGAAGTAATGTTGATGGTCCTTTAGTATCAGTATACATATATTTCATTTAACTGCTGGATGATTTCAAACTGAGCTCATTAAAACTAGAACACTAGTTTCTATATCCTTATTCCCTTTAGTCTATTTATATAAAGCTATGGCTTCACTATAAAGCAGCATAATTTTGATACATGCATTTACTTATTATGTACAGTATTTTACACTCAATTTACAAAATAACATTATCAAGCCAGATATTTAATTTTCAAAATTTTAAAACTAAGTTAAAGTATGATCCTTTTACAAACACACATAAGGGTCATACAAAGTTCATTTTAATCAATTATTTACGAATCAAAGCCTTAATACTTCACTTTGATAATTTTTACAATACAACTATAATGTTTTAATGCATAAATTAATATTATGTTACACACTTGTTTCTTTTTTGTGAAAGTCAGATCCAGAACTCTGGCGAATCCAGACATTATCATCTAAGCTATCATCATCAGAGCTGGATGTAGTGTCGTCATCCGCCATGTTACAAAAGCCTTTCTGAGTGAGACGTTCATATTCACTGGCTGAACGAGGCAACCAAAATGCTTTGTTAGCTAAATCATCACTTTCACTGGCTTGCTTGATTAGTTTGTGCATAACCTTGTCTCTATACATATGGTTAACATAAACATAATTCACTTTAGATGGGCGCCCTTTGAACTGTTCATCCCAACCTAGTGATCGCTGCTTGTTGGTCAGCTTATTCTTATGTCTATCAGATCTGTGATGCTTTTTTCTATGGGTGGGGTCTGAGTGATGATCTGAATCTATGGACCTGGCTTTTTTCATGTTTTGTTGTACATTTTGATTATTTCCCTGATTAGGCTCATAGGCCTGGCTATCTGACAATACTGGGCTGCAGGGTGCATATGTGACTGACCGTCCTGGGCTTCCACCTGCTTGAGTTCGTTTTGGTTTAGGCCTGCTGCTGTCTGAGCTGTCCCCACCTGAAAGTGGGCGCCAGCTGTTTCCACTACTGCGACGCTTGTGGTTGGACTGATTCTGTGAATGTGAGCTGCTGGACCCAGGGCTCATAGATTTGACTTGACGAGTCTGGGATTGGATGAGGTAAGGGGATGGGGGAATATTGAAGGGAGTGGGGTGAGTGGTCTGTTGGGTGAATGGGACAGGGGACAAACTATTCGGACCAGACGGGCGGGTCTGAGTCTTATTAAAAATGTGAGGATTTACTGATACTGGCTGAGAATAAATGCCATAATCAAAAGGATAATGTTGCTGCTGTGAGTGTGCAGGTGGTGGGGGTGAAAAAGAGTATGATGGCTGATGACTAGGTAGGGGAGGTAAGTTACAATGGTATGGATTCCAAGCCACACCTGGATTGACAGGCCTTGGTTGTAGATCACCTTGACTGGACTTGTCAATTTGAGAGGATGCTGCACTCAACTGGTTCTTTGGCACAGAACCTTCTCTCTCTCCCTGACTGAGGGGAGCTTCTTCTGTAGAGTCATCCAGGTTTTTACCATGACGTGGCAAGGTGTTATTATTCCGTGGCTGGACTGGTGTAAAAGCGCTAGGGTGCACCCCTGTACCTAGAGAACCAGCGCTGGGTGAACGTTGATGTTGAGGTAGGTTGTTTGAACCAACAGACTGGTACACAGGTGCATTCACCTGTCCTTTATCTGGAGAAGCTGACCTGACGCCAGGGACCTGGCTGTTCAGCTCTAAAGATATGGCCCCACAGGAGGATCCAAGGATATTCTGTGGAGTGGACTGCTGATGATTATTGATATGAACAGGGATTTCTCGTGAGCTAGAGAAGGACCCTGGCTTAGACGCAGGCTTGTCTTTGAAAGGGAACTGGTTGTCAGTGCTGAAGTGGGTATTGGCGTCACTGCTGGTGCCATGGCTGAGGCGATTACTGAGCTCAGCTGTTGAATTGTTGTCTGTTAAACTGCTGTTTAAATCCCTGTTTATGTCCTTGTTCATCACTTTACTATGGTGACGGTTTTTCTGCCAAAACTTTTTAGCAGCTCCGTTTTGTCTGGGATTGTAGAAGTTGGGGAAACCTTCTTGGGCTGAATTAAATGAAATTTCCGAAGCGTTAGGTATGATGAGGTTGATGTTTGACTGCTTGCTGTTGTTTTTCATGTTGTATGCTTTAGTGATGTTGGATGATTTCTGTGAATACAGAGACAGGTTGGTGTTGCTGTTGGACTTGACAGCACTGCCGTTGGCTTGTGGCTGAGGTGGTGGAGGCGGCGGCTCAGGCTGTGACTCTGTGATTTCCATGGGAGCCACATACTCCTCTGCTGGGCCGCATTTAGCTGCCCGCTTCCAGCTGAGCCAGGAGTCTTTACGAGTTAAACAGAAGTAGAGAATCATGAATAATCCAAAAACAGAACTCATCAGCCCGAAGCTGTAGCTGAAGATGAGATCTTGGTAAGGGATGAAGTAGAAGGGCTTAGCTATGGCCAGAGCACCACACATCCACATGACAATAAACAAAAACAGGATGACGACAAGGGACCTCAGCTGGGTCACGGGTCTCCTTTCCTGGTCAGGGATGCTGACCACAGACACCACCTCCTCTTCTTCGTCATCGGTACTGCTGTGGCTGAACCTTCTGCGGTACCCGATCCCATTATTGATGATGTTTTTGTTGTTGTTGATGTTGTTGACATTACTGTGTGAATTTATGTTGTGAGTGGTGCTGGTATTTGTATCCGGCTGCGATGGCACCAGCTCAATTTCGTTGGTGTGGATTTCATGGTCACTCTCGTTAGCCGCCTCACTGTCTATTTCTGGTACTGATTTGACGATGCAAGAGATTCGTGTGAAGAGAACAAAGTTCCAAGCAACAAGTAAAGCAACAGGAACATAGAAGGCACCAACACTGGGCTCCCATTCAAGAAAGCAGCTGTGAAAAAAAATTATTCAGTTATTTCCAGAATAGTACACATTTTAACTAACATGTTTATTCAAAATTCTTCCAGAATGTTAGTTTTAAATAACTGGGGTAAACACAATGTTTCCATAATGTTAAACATTTTAAAATACATAAGTACAATAAAAATTGTTAAAAGCCAGTTATAAGCTGTATATCATAAACATAAAAGTGGGAATACAGTATCAATTTCAAACAAAAAAAATTAAGATAACTAAAGTGTGTCATTAACTACTCACTATTTATGGCCTGAGTAAAAATTCAGGTTGACAGCAGCAGTTATGCCACAGATAATAACCGGAACACCATAGCCAACAAAGTAAAACTGCAAGATGGGCTTGGGTGGGAGTGGCATGGGACCAAGGTCTGGTGGGGGCTCTGGTGGTTTGTTGGCCTTGATGAACTTTTTATACAGTATGCTGGAACACATAGAAATATGGCCTCATTGAGTTTCTTTAGACAATATCATAAAAGTAATTTTAATAAATATTTATGGTATGGTAAATCTGTCCATTGTTAACACTTAATTTAAATATGGATAAGTTTATTTTTAATCAACAGAAAAAAAATTAAATAATTAATTATACAAAAATTAAGATATGCTAAAACTGTCAAGTGTAAGCTAATTTATTCAGAAAAACACTGCAAACACAAATCTGAATCTATTTTTACTGTGTAGTTTAAAAGTGTAACGTACTTGGTTGCTATTGTAATCCAAAAAACAGCACATAAAGTTAGGTAATGAATACAAATGCCTGCCATTTGACATGGTAACTCGAAATCTGTGCGATTCACTCCAAATATAAATGCTGCCAGTAGAAAAAGTGTACTCAAACATATATTCATTGTTGCATGTTTGATTTTCTTTGGAATACCAATGGACCTATGAGAGGAGAAAAAAATATTCAAATATTGTTACTACAAAAACATTGATTATAATTTTATTCAATGTTCAATACAATATAATTAAAAAATTAATTTCTTGACTGCTTTCAGGGAATAATTACCTATATCCCACTGGGTGAAATTGTTTACTTACCCAAAACATGCAATCAATGTAGTGACTACAATGATCATACAGATCATACAAATACCGCTGCCAACATACAATACTGGCTCCATAGAGAATGCCTCAAGTCTGTATACAAAAGACACATCCTGGAAAGACAAAATATAAGGAAATACTGTAAAAGGTAAACATAATTAAATTCAGCTATTAAATTTCTTAAATGTTAAAACTTGCAACAAGTTCTTAAACGGATGGTTGTCAAATGAAAATAAATGTAAAAATATAATAGGAATTTGTTCAAATTAAGTTTTAATAGACTATAAATACTTGTTTCAAACAAAATGCTTTTAAAGCATACCTGCAAAAGTGCAAAATTAGAAAGATGATGCACTTGAACAACAACAGTTGAGCCATTTTGTTTAACTATTTCACAACCATCTGTCCTCCAGCCACCATATCCATCTGAAGAACAATTTTATAAATTATTTTAATTTCTAAACATTTGTATAAATATTCAAATACTTAAGTATAACATGTGTTTAAAACTAATATTTTTTGGCATAAACCAACAAGTAAAAATAATATTAAATTATTTACACACCAATGAAATCAAAGTCATAATATGCTGCCTTTAAGGGTCTTCTAACATCAGAAACTTGAAAAGTAATTACAACAGGTTCTGGTAAATTTCTTGTTGGCATACCTGAATATTAAAATAAGACACAAACAATGAATTTTTTTTTAAATAAAAAGTTTTTGCAAATTATTATAATACGTTTTGTGAATTTTCAGTTTTAAATAACCAACAGTTAATTTATGTATTTAACAAACGATACAAAACAGTTTTGCAATTCAACATACCAACAGAAACTGCAAGCACTGGAGTAACAACCACCCAGGTCCCCCTTCTGAAAGCTGGATCACTCAAGTCTGACTGTATTACAGGGAACAGTTTACTTGTTCTGTATACGATCACATAAACATTTGTCTTGCGAGGGGGTGTTGGCATGGGAACAGGATTATTCACAGTGCCGATGGGTTTTATGGCGAAGGGGAAGTTTGACATGTTTGCAGGAAAGTTGAATGGACCTTGAGATGAGATATTCAATACCCTGGACAATTTGGATAAGTTTAGCCTATCTAGCTGATGGGAAAATAGTGATGTTGAGATGGCAGAGGGTGATGTGGTGGATTCATTTAGGCTATCTGGAACTGCTTGATTAGGGTAGGAGTTAGGTGAGTAGGAAAACACTGGAGGTTCTTGTTGAAATGATGCTGATGAGAGGGATGAAGAATTCCCTGGCAGGACTGTGTCATTCACTGCTGAACTGTCATTGCTATTCAATACAGTGTCTTGATTGTAGATAGTGGATTCTTCTTCAGGCTTTACTGTTGTAGTTGTTGGCCTTGGTGTTGTTGTTTCATCCAACTCAGACAACTTAGGCTGGAATCTTTTGTTTAGCAATGCAGGGATTTGTACATTTATAGAAGCAGCCTGAAAGACAATGTTTTTTTTTAAACTAAATAAACACTGGAACTTATAAATTATATAAATAAAGGCAACACACTAAAATTAAAGAAATTTACTTACCAAAATTTGAGAAACGTTTTGACTACAAATGAAATGTGTGCTACCCAAGTCTTGTGGGAACAATGTGTAATCTAAAAGGCCACAGCCTAGGCCACTTTGCAGCACCTGTTTTTTATTGAACACAGCAACTATCACATTCTTGGTCAAACTGGTCCACCTTGGCTCCAACATCTGAGAACTCAGCTGTTCATTCATTTGTTCAAACATTCGAACCATCCTGATAAATAATTTTAAGGGTAAGTTCAAGTAAATAGTTATTCTCTACTAATTTGTGACAGTTACTGTGTTTATTAACTATAATGCCATTATTAACTTTATTTTGCTTAATTAAGATTAAGGAGTAAAACCTTCTTGGAAATACTTGTTTTTCAAGTTTGAATGGCTACTTTTTTCACTTTATGCAAATTACACCATTTGTTGTAGGAATAATAGGTAAATATGTAATATTTAAAAACCAACCGATATTATTTTTTTTTTAAAAACTGACTTTAAGAAAAGGTTTAAATTCAGTTGAAGTTGCATACCTTGATAGTGACCTAGTTTCAATTTGAGCCATATCCAAAACATCAGGAGACAAATTGCTAGCATTGCTAATAATATTCACCATCAATGAGGTAACCTGCAATAAAATACATGAGTTTATAATGAATATTTAATTAACGTTACTGCTACACTACAATAACTTCAAAAATATTTATTATTCAAGCATTTTTGAATAATTTCCAACAAATTAGGTGCATCATTCCCACTTCTAAAAACTAAAAGGGTTACCTCTAACATTTAGACAATTTATATGCATGTACACAAAGATAAATTAAAAATATTTATGTTAAGATATTACCATTGACTCTGACATTGCAAATGGCAGTAAATTTGCCATGATTCTTGTAAGGTAGAAGAGATCAAAGTAGTCCATCTTTTCATCATTAGCTTCAGCCAGCATGAATGCCTTATTAATGTCATTTGTCAGGTTTGGAATATCCCCAAGTTCAGGTGAAAGCTGAAGTTTTAAAAAAGTCACATTATAACATCAAAAAAATTCATAACAATAATTTTTTTTTTAAACAGACTACTTTCAAGATACCAGTTTTAAGAGCAGCATTGATGTTAACAATATCTTTCAACTGTGTATTCACTTTGGAACTGGGAAAAATTTTAAATAAAAAAGATACCTTGGAAAACCTGTGAAGTTTTCGTGTGATATTTTTCATGAAGCTACAGGATGAGATGTTCAAATTTCTCCATCTGCCATCTACCTCACACTTGTGGGTGGCCATGGCACCCTTGTCTCCTTTGTGGCAGGGCTGAAACACTAGCAATCCAGCAATGGATGACTGCCAGGTATAAGTTCCCTTTGATGTTTTGTTTGTGACAGCTGGACAACCCATGTCAACTTTAGGTGCTCTTACTTCTACATGAACCTGAGAACAAGGCCAGGATCAATTGCTTTTTCAAAATGTTATAAAAGCATGATTTTAATATAATTGAAGTGTACCTTTTTAAAAATATGGGACAAATACGCAAGCTTTTACAGAAACACTTTGCATGAGTTTTTAAAAAAAAAATTAGGAAAGTGAGCATGCTATCAAGAAACAATTTGCATGCATTTTTTTAAAAATATTAAACAAAGGTATATCAAGACACAATATGACTTAACCTTTAAAAAAATATCAGACAAACGAAGAAGCATTTAAGCAAAAAAGTATGCACTCACTGTTTTTGTAAGATTCCCGCTATCTGTTGACACAACACAGCTCCATTCTCCAGCATGAGATGTATCCAGACTTTCAACCAGGAGATGATGGGTGATGACAGTGTAGTCTAGGTTGTGTGTTGTGTTTACAGAGACACCAACAGTCTTGTTGGTGGTCACCTGGTGTTCACCACGAAACCAAGCTATTTCCATTTTGCCTGGAGCAACTGAAGCGTGGCACTCAAAAGGAAGCTTATCACCTTGAAATACCAGCTGGCTTTCCGACGGTCGAATGTCAAAAATAGCTAACTGCAGACTGTGATCTAAAGAAGAAACATTAACCTTTAAATATTAAAAAAAAATTTTCCATGATCCGTGTACTGCTTTATTAATAATTTTGTTTACAATATTCAAACAATATGATATTAAAGAAAAAAAAAAGACTTCCTTATAAAAAAACAATTCTTACCACAATGTAAATTTTTACGTTTCAATTTAGATACTGGTTTTCCCTTCATTTTAGTGGGTAGTGCACATACAGTTGAGCTTGGAATATGTACATCTTGCTGTTTGGTCCATTGCAAAATCCACTTGAGATGACAGTCACAGCGCAGATAGGGGGAACTAAATTCACTGGGTAACAGAAATATTTATTGTAATTAACAACGAGAAGGAGAATTTAATAAAGTTTTTTTTTCAAATTAGCACTGATTGCAAATACTTAAGGGAATTATAAAATAAAAAATGATAAAGCTTCAAATGTGGAATAAAGCACAACAAAACCTATGTGTAGTCTAATTTCAGCGACTACAGAAATAAGTAACTTACATGTGCTTCATTGACCTCAGATCATTAAAAGTTCCATCTGGGATGACAGAGATCTTGTTGTCTGATAAATAGCTTTAAAGTAGAAACATAAACGACATGCATAAGAATATTTTTAACATTTCAGAATAGCACATTTATTGTAATATTCAAACATTAGAAAAAGATACAAAAAGTAACACATAATATTGTATAAATAGCCTAATAGTATTTTTAATGTTACATGTGGAATGAAAAAAGAAAAACAAGTTAGTTTAATCTCTGTTTTTACTTACAGCTTTTCCAAACTGGGTAAGCCTTGAAACATATTACTATTGATTACTCCTATGGCATTTCTTGACAGATCCCTTTATATATGAAAGATAAGTAAATTTATGTAAGTGGTTAGCAACAGACATTTGTCTTTTAAATGGGACACATAAAATACAATGCCATCCTATAGCAAATAAAATGTAGACTTACAATTTTTTCAGACTTTGCAATCCTTCAAAGGCTCCAGCTTCAATGATTTGTATTTGATTTTTACTCAAATTTCTGCAAAAAATAAAAATTATTATTTACTTGAACTATTAATTGTTTTTCCTTAAAGGCATTTTTACTGAAATATTGACTGTTATAATAGAGAGAAGAGTTTACATGTTTCACTTGTACTCAACTCCCACAGACCAATGTTTTTATAAAGTAAACATGAACCTGAGAGAAACCATCTGAAGGAGTTGATGTGGAGTAATGAGAGAGACAACAGAGGAGCGGTGGCAAGATAAATTATACAGAACATTTGTGGTGTCATGCTAGTCAGGACAGGGACAGGTGAGTGATACAAAGGTAATAGCTTTCTCAAACTGTTCTATTCAGGGTGATAACTATACTAGCTACAACAGACACATTGTTTATATTTCTTTTATATAGGGCACACCAGATAGGTCATGTCAACAAATAGATTGTTGGCTTTTTTTAATTACAAATTTAACTGATTTAAGTTTCAAAACAACCAGGAATGATTATCAAACCATTCATTCCTTAATTATCTTAACATCTCACCCTAGAATTTACACTAGCTAGCTGGGGCTGAAAAAAAATATTACAAATCATTCTCAGCAGTGATTTTAAAAAAAAATTCTATGCCCCCTTTGTTAGCAGCAGGGAGAGTAAAATGTTAATGTTACCTCCCTGCCAGACAGTGGTGGGAAAAAATTCTTTCTTCACGTTCAGAACATGACAAGCAGACAAGCCATCTGACGTGTTACATCATGTCTAAATGACACTTTTTTTTCTTCACACCACGGGACTACATAAAGAAGGTTCGGTGGCTATTTCTCCCTTACAACCAATCCTTTTATAAAGCAACTGCACTATGCATTTAACTTAACTTTGTAGAGAAATGCAACTTTTTGCACCTGTTTAAAATGTGTATTATACTGCATTAATGATTCGTCAAATGTATAGGCTAGTCGGTAGCCTAGTATTAAAATAGAAATAGCTACTCTAGTACGGCGGTAAAAAAAAAGCTGTAAAAAGACGAAGAAAAAAAAGATAAGTAGATTGTAGACGAGAGACCAAAAAGGTCGGGCTAAACGGCTACCATAAATATCCGAACTTGTATCGACCTTTTTATCGTCGTCCCCTTGAGTCCAATCGATGGGTGGAGGCCGGGGAGGTACTCGGCCACTCGAGCATCTTCTCTGGTCGTCAACGGCCCTAAACACTTCTCTAACGTCCTTTCCGGCTGGCTTTCCCGCTTCACGAAATTGGCGGTGGCAGTAACGGTAATTGAATTACGGACACCTCAACACGATGAAACGTGAATTACGTCTGGGAGAGACCGCATAAGAATGTTAAACGTATCCTACACGACTATGCTCTTTGGAGGGCTGTGCTGTAAACTCGGACCATCGTTGTATTGCCGACCAGCCCGAGCGGCCACCTTGACTGAGTCACGCCCGAGGGCAGTACACCCCCCAACACATACGGTAACCTGACACAATGTTTGCTTTTGTTTCCGCCAAAGAAGGTCGGCACTCGTGGGCTCCCCTGCTAGACAAACACTTGTCCCGGTCTATCTATCGGGATATTTCTCGCACTACTGGTCTCTAGTATCGAACACATGGGTCTGTGCCTTTGCTCATTGTTGATCAGTGCCAACAAAATATAGGAACACGAGAAGTAATCAAATTAAAACAGTGACACTACAGAGGGGGAAAAAATTAATTTTAAAGGGAAAAAATAATCATTGAGTCAACAAACAAAAACAAAGATCTAAACTAGCGTCTGTTTACATTGAAACAGGGAACTAAATCTTAGCACATGTAGGCACAAACAAACTGACACGTGTGTGAAACTGGCGTCTCTTTAGAGTAAGAGCAATATTAAGATCTTGGCCTCAAGTACTTTAAAAATAGCAGGTACACTCGGCTTTAACAGCATTGTTGTTCTAGTGAAAAGGTGTGGGAGTAGCTGGAGCCAAGTGCTGAGAGATATGACATTTTATTCTCACACCTACAAATGCCGGTAGGTAAATCAGGTTTTCTAGGAAGAAAAAAGGTTTTATTGGGGAATGTAACCAACCTTTAAAGATGGGACAAAGGATAGCCAATTTACTCTTTATATATAAGTAATAATACTAATACACGTATTCTTGTCATATTGAAAAACTATCCATTCAATAAACAGAAGGTTCAAATTAAATTATTATTCGCAGCCACGCCAAAATTCAACTAGAGCTCATGAATGTAGGAAATAAATAAGAATAAAGCGTTCCATTATTTAAATGTGAACACCAAGCCAAAAACAAGAGCCGCGTAGTCAGTAATGAAAACCCCACCGTGAGCCGTATCGCACTAAAAGTACCAAGAAACTATTGAGCTCGTGTAGGCTGGAGATACCCAGGGAGCCGTTGACCTGTCGCATACAATCAAACACCATTATTGTATGCATAATACGGCCATAATGACGGTCATTTAGGCTAATGCTTCATCTCTTTAGGGAGTATGTGGGTACAAAGAACTCCCAACAAGATTTTAAAAGTTACCTCATTATATACACGGACTCCCGGTAAAACTTTGAAAGTTATCTAATTAAAAACACGCAGCGACACTTCAACAATGATAAGTTAAAAAACGTGTTCTCGATCACACCAGGGGATGGAGGGGTTGACACAGTAAAGGTCAAACACAATGTACCGTTTCAACTGCGGGCCCCCGACAAGACAGATGCGACCGTAAGGTGAATAATTGGAACAATTGTCGCGACCTTTGTACAAGTGTCAGCTCTTTGACATGACAATGGCACAGCGTAAACGAATGACCAAGGCATGTCGTCTACTTCAGGCATGTCACATTTTACGAGGACCCCACATGTGGCCGTCAAAATAAGTATACTTCTACACATGGTCAACTTTCAGCAGGGTTCAATGGAGAAATAAAGATGCGTCGGTTTGAATAGATATACTAAACAGTGGCTTAGCTACCGTAAAGCTAGCGTAAGCAAGACATAGGGGCCCAATGCACACAGGGGCACAAAAATCCTAGCTACGCCACTGATACTAAATAACACTTGTGAAAATGCACCTGCTTTAAATATAAACTCCTATAATCACACACACACCTTCTCAACACATGAAACTTATGTACACTTCTTGATCTTATTAAAAGAAAGCGAACGGCTATAAGCCTTTATGACGTCAGTTATAGCTCCCAAATATAGCTTAGGTCAGCTCACAAATTTGAGCAATGCATAACTTGAACAATTTTAAGTGCGGAGAAGTGGGGTTACCTACGGGCTTAAAATTAAACGATGAAACTGGGCCATCTACCATAATTTAAGTAGAATATACTCAAATACGTCTAGACACAATTTTGGCGGACATTTTCTTGTTAAAACCTTTTTTTTTTTAAATATCATCCTTGCTATTTAATGCATTTCGGCCACCGCCGACACAAATGTAAACCAACATTGTAACCTACCATTCATAAAATTGGTAAAGAAGATATGTTTAAACAATACGTTAATGCCGTGCACGTACTGTCGGCTAGAGAAGAATATGCAAGAATGGCACAGATAAGTTGATAAGAACTTGTTTGAGTGAGGTCGAAGCATTACGTTGTACGGATGTATATCAATTTGAATTGTTAATGGGTCCCCGGGAAGATAAAGCTCGCTACCTCACGCCACCGGCTGAGATCAATACAAGAATAAATCAAAAAGATTAACATTATTACGCTTGTGGTATCACGCATACCTCACATAATGTCAGTGTATTTTTGCCCCCCAGCCCCAACCAAAAGAAAACGCGCGGTTATTTATTAAAAAAATCTTAGTTTAGTCTTCTATTTAGGTTACTAGCTCGAAGTTTATTTATTTTAACGGAAAATACATTTCAACTCTACTGTCAATAAAGAATGAAGTCGACCCAGAACTATTACTCTATGAGCAAACCATTAATAAACGATGTCATTGTGGTCTATAACAAGTACTCGATTACAAATCCATACGTGATGCAATTTGTATTGAGTAGTGAAATTGTGTATTTTTAGAATTGAACTCATTCTCCATTTGCCAAGAGAGATAACAGCTGATAGGGAACAGACTTTCCTTGCGTTACGGTGTCAAGGAAAGAAAAAGGTGAGGGGGATGAAGAAAAAAAAAGAAGAAAAAAAAAAAAACCTCGGCTGCTGACTTCTCGGTTGATTTTAATCTTTACCTGTTCAGTCCGCCAACTTCCCCAGGGTCAGATACAGCTGCGCCTCTTAGTTTCATAGACCAACCAGGTACAGGAATAAACGGGATGAAAACGAGCAAGGATAGCAGAAACAGAAAATAGAATGGGGAAATATCGACACGATAACCGTTTAGCAGCTAAATGAAATGAAACGCTCCCTAACTAAGGGAATGCTTCAGAATAGTGACGGATTGGACGTTTTGTATTTGTACAGTCAAACTATTTAAAAAAAAAAACTCGTTCGTCATTTCAATCAACCATTCGGGTGAGACACAAAACAATCTATTAGCCCATGAAGTACCAATCCATCTTACTTTTAAAGCAAGACAGAGCAATGTCAGGTAAACCATCGGTAATGTACAAATAAATATTCGCTACCGGTATAAGTAGCTTTGCTTCTGGTTTTTTGCTTACCAAACATTCTCATGGCTCTATTTTAGCTCTTATGTGTTTGTTTCATTCACTTACTTCAAAGGCAACTATCATTTAGTATCATCTGGTTGTCATACAGGGAAATATTTTTTTAATTGAAAGCCCAAGTTACGGGGGTGGGGGAGGTGTGTAAACTAAGTGGTGTTACTCTAATTTGACCAAATTTTAACCTGAAAAAAAAAACCCCACAAAGTTGGTATATTACAAAGAACAAATTGGGTATCGTATTAGTATGACACGTGCAGTGTATTTAACACTGAGGTTTGAGCAGTATAACAGGGGATTCACCTGAAAAAAAAAGTTCAGCGTAAAATATGTTTAAAATCGGTAGGTCCTAACATACTTTTACAAACCCGGCATTTTACGCGTGTTTGGAACTCACTGTACATTTAGTAATGAACCTTATTTTTCTTCTGGTGAAAACCCCCCGACTTGTGGGTGAGATCATTTCCGTGTGTAATTAGCGCAACTTTAAATATATCTCGCGGCCTAGAAAGAAGCGGAGCAGAACGAAACTTACAAAGCCAATCGTATAATAACAGAGTCGTATCCCCGTTGCTCCAAGGCTATGCTCAAACGCCTGTGAAGCTCGTGTTAAGAATAGAAACGGCTACATTTACTTGGTTCACTTCTCGATCCCCATTATTCCGTTAACGTTGTTACCTCCCCTCATGGAAAATACAATAGAACAGAACGCCCACCCGTTCTCTGCTTGAAGTGGGGGCTGTTAGACCCGAAATATTTCAACACAATGCTCTATCCATCAAATGAGCAGATTTTAACTTGTACACGATGGCTAATGGAAATAAATATTGGGACGTAAAATAAAGGTGTAAAAGATGAGAAAATACAGGGGGAAAACATTATTTTACTGATAGAACTATTTGGGACCAGTACGAGTCGACTAAAGGAATAAATAGGAATAAAAACAACATGAATAAAAACGCTTATCACCAGAACACAAACTCATCGTAATCCTCGGTGCGACCCCCTCTATTGTTTTAAGAAGTTATTTTGTTTCTAACTTCAATTTCACGTTTGCCATTAAATACAGTTATATCATGCTCTATTTATAGCAACGTGAAAATAAACACAAAGAACAACCTTTTTCCCCCCTTATATTATAACTTTTTTTTTCTTTCGTGCGATTTTGTACCTGAGCGAGCTACGTCTAAGATGCATGGGGAGTGGAGTTTACAACACCTAGAGCCATGAATATAAATAAATATAATTACAAACATACGATTTAAAAGGCAATCAGGAATTAAAACGTTGGCACGAAACGTACATAGTATGAATGATATTTTTAGAAAGTTTAGCGGATTTACTGAAAGTTACATTTTCAATTTCGTCTTCTGTTATGTTGTGTAGTAAACGTAAGACTAAGTGTATAAACTTTTTGAAAAATAGACGGGCAACAACAGAAGGCCAGGTAATAAAAATAGCATGATTCAATAATTACATATCTCGTTATGCTGCTGAACATAGGTGGCGCGCATGCTTGGATCAATCCAAAGCTAAACAAATTATCAATATATTAGTTATAATGTAGTTTAGTGATTTACAAAAACAGCAGTGCTAATTATAATGGTCGACATCGAGGCGCACGTACCAGACCTGCATATTTAAAAAAAAAAGCATTCAATCCCTGTTCACCTTGTAGACATAAAACTGGCGCCATTGTCTTAGTACATTTTGCGCAAAGATAGCTCCGGAGTTGAAGGGAAAATGAGCAGGGTAATGAAACTTTTTGATCCTAGTTACACTGCTCAAGTACTTCTTTTTGTTTCACCAAGAGCAGCGAGATAACACAAATAATGAACTGATTTATCAAGCTGCTATAGATTGCACAGTGTCGTTACGTTCTCGGCGTAGTTTTTTTTTTAGAGGTGTGGTTTACACCCACAAAAAAATCCGACGGGTACATGTATACATTCAATAGATTGAGTCGCTATTCGCCTCACACAGCTACCGTCCTATCGTAACGGTGGTGGGTGATATAGGTGCATCCATTCTGTACAATATTACCATGGTGAGTAACTCTAAGACCCAGGTAGACCGATGTTTGCCACCTCCTATGTGCTCATTACAGATGAATGATAGGAGACAAGCTCATTTACTGCGGTAAATGAGCCGTGCGAACATCAAAGGGCCGCCTCTTTGTGAGTTACAAATACTCTCTCTGCTATAAGCACAAAAGTAACTTTACATGGACTACGAACGTGTATACAATTTTGACGCACAGCTAATTGATGACAACGGGGTTCAAAATGTAAATAATTTTAGCGCACCTAAAGCATATCACCACACCCACGTTTTTTTTTAATAAACATATGACGAAATCACATGGATTTTTTTCAACCGGTTTTAAATCACCACGCAAAAACTGAAACGAGGTTTTTTTAAAATATATATTGTTAAAAAAATTTAATTTGAGAACTAATCCAGTCGTAGTAACCTTTTTTTTTTTAAATGTATCAGCCTTTAAGATAAATAAAGACCAAACCAGTAGAATTTGAAGATGCATAGTACAGGATCAAACGGCTCCTAGCTTTTTGAAAGCTAAAAAAAAAAACCTTTTCGGATGGAAGGTATAAACTAACGCATTGGAAACACGTGTTTATCTCAGCGTTTTCATGGTAAGGGAGAAAAGAAGCAGTAATGAGGCACGCACTATGAAGTCAATTCCTTTCTCAGCGGTGCTTGCCTGGGTAAGCTCCAATACAAGAATGTTTCCCATTTAGTAATGATAATAAAGGTTGTTAAATATACAATTTATGTTAGTTCCTTTGTAAGTCATAGGTAAGTAAAGAAGACAAGGGAAAGGGGGAGTACACAAACAAAAATTAGTGGTTGATTTAAAAAATACACTATAAAGCTTTCTTCACTTTAAAAAAAAGCGATTTAGACAGATTAAAGTGCGTGTCCTTAAATTTACGATTTTCCGTGTAGATTTGTTTAGATAAATTGATAGTTTTCAAAAACAGAAAAGGTTATGGTGCTATATGCAATTTTCTATGAGCAATTTTGATGGAACACATCACTCCTACAAAGTCAATCCATCGTTCTTGTCTACAGATATCTTGACTCTGTTGTAGACGAAGCCCCACCCAAAGAACACGCGAGTACAACGCCTAACTCTTAGCGTCTACCGTCACTAAGTAAATATCTAATGTGATCGCAGACACGACAATACAGTAGGCATATTGTTTTTTTTCTATGGCTACAGAGTATACTCTAGTTCTTAAGGTTTGATAAAAGCAAAATATAAACTCAACACAGTCACAGCTGGCGTTCATAAAGGAATGAAAACTATTACTAGATCTAGAACTGATATAAGGAACTAGATCTAGGTAAAAAAACAAACTATTGTAAGTAGAAACGTTAGTTACTGGCATATTCATTATAGCTTTTATACCACTGCCCTCTATTATTACAGGTTACACCAACTTAAAACAATTTCATTCTCTACACCCTGGAATAAGCTTGAATACATTATTTGAAGATTATTTAATTCTATTCCTTGTCTGTGAGTTATGTCTAAAATATTGCCTGGAAATGTCAGTAATGCCCAAATAATAAATAAAAATATTCAAAATTCAGTTTGTATGTCTGAAATTGTTGTGTCTCACTCTTGATGTTAATGGCCATAGCTGCTCTGTTATTTCAAAGTGAGTTCATTTTATATTCCAGATGAATGCAAACGAAATTGTGTAACCTAATGGACAGATATATTAGACAGAAAGGAATTTTTAAAAACTCTGGACAAAAATGATTTAAGGGTTCAGTATACCAAAGCAACCCAAAATCCATGTTGAATAATGTTCTATAAAAATGCAGAGAAATTGATTCAAAAATGTATTAATAATTGTATTAAACATTAGCACACTGTATTTTTATCTTTCCATTAATCTTTTTAATTGCTGCCCATTACAACAATGCATAGACATGCATTATTTATTATCAGACCCGTTCAGAACTCAGCCAAAACCGTCCCTAGTGGTACAACCTTGAAGAGGCCAGATGTAATCAAGCCTAACACTTTATGCTCTGAATTAGCAGAGCTCAATCTCTTTTTTTTTAAAACTTGTAATTTGAACATATAAGGAGCAACAGGATATTTGTGCAAGATGGAAAATGAGACAGCATGAGTCATGCTACTGTGATAATCAACATAACTTTATAAAACCACCTGGTAACAAACTTTCCCCTGAAGAAAATATATTGTGACCGCTTGGCCTTGAAATTACTTATAAAAGTTTGTTATACAATTTCTTATGACCAAACAGCTTAGAAGGAACATTAACTACTTCTAATAGTTTAGGATGACAAGTTGGTGTTGTTTCATGTTTATATGTCGACCCAATAACGTAATAATCATTTCTTTCAGGGTGTATTCAACATAACTTTAGAGATTTGAGTTATCATTCTAAGATTTTACTTAATAATATTCAATCACTTTAAAAAAAGCTAGCCTCTAGGAAATTAAAAAAAACCTCATATTTAATGGGCTCAGTAAAATAGTTAAAATGTTTTTAATAGATTTACATCAGTAAAATCATAATCATGGATTTTATTTTTCATATACTTTTCATATTTGTTTACTGCATATGAATAAGAAAAATCATGCCTTATAAATTAATGTATTAGAGTTTTAAAAAATTCAAAGAGGAGCGAAGATGTATGGTATGAAAATATGGTAGGCCCTACATACCTATAGAAACAGAGAAATGACTAGGTTTAGTGCTAGGACTAGGGCAACCTTTTATTTAGTTCCAACACCATTTTTCTTATTATTTCAGTTAAAAATATAAATGGTATTGCATTGATATTCAAGTTATATTGTATTCTTCTACTCTGATAGTGGACACAAATGCAAAACAAATGCTGTTTTGATTTTGAGTAGTTGTTTGTTTATTTTTTATTAGAGGGATTATTAGTCATCCAAGGATCAGGTAGTGAACTCCAGTTTGAAGTAAGATATTAACTAAGTTTTGATTTTCAGGAATGACTGTCACTAATGAAAATATCTACATCATTTCTCTGCTTTTAAGATAGAAGAACCAAAAAATGAAGTAGTCTGTAGAATAAGAAATACTTACAGTTTTTGAAGACTGGAAAGTTGAATGAATGAGCGTTGTTTTAAAACAACCAAAGCATTGTGAGCAAAATCCCTGGGAAACAATAAAGAAATATAATAAGACTAAAATAAGGCTTGCCTCTCAGCATGCTATTTATTTCATAATATACAAAACTAAAAACTGTATACAATTTTGTCAAAGAAAAATAAAATTTCATTACTAATAGCTATAGATAAATAATGTGTGATATAACTAATGTAAAATATATATATTTATTTACTCACAAATGAACAGTATCCGGAGGAAAGTTCAAATTCGCCAGGGATGTGAATGGAGCCACATGATGAGTGCAGTTAACTTTCCGACCTTTCTGTGACTTGGTTAGCATTGTGCATTGGCATCCAGGAACACAGGCATAGCACCAAGAGAATAAACTACCCGTTGTAATTAGTAGAAACACAAACACATATCCTTTTTGGGTCAGCATTTCCATATTTGAAAGCACATTCCCTTCAATACAAATGAAGGTTACTCCACAGATGTGAAACTTTGAAATTATAATCCAGTAGATGTGTTATTCTAGTCATGATTTGCAGTCATCTAACCCTTTTGGTGTCAAGGAAAATGAATACAATGAAACCTTCCTACCTGGAATAAAATAAAAGTAGATTATTTTGATTAAGTTAAAAAATCAGGTAAAGAATGTTTGAATATATAAACGCGCTAGCATAAAATAAACATTTTTATTTTATTTTTGCAGTTGCAGTATTACTGATATCATAAGGGTAATGTAACAAGCCTAAAATAAGCAATACACAAAATTATTGTTTACATTTTAAATTCAAAGAAAAAAAATATGAAAAGATTTCTAAGTTCTTAATAACATTTAAAAAGCTTTTATATGCACTATTTAATGTGAGTAATTTTAAAAGAGGACTATCTTCCCCTAATTATTCTGTGGTTAGCTCTCAGGCTTGAAAACATAAGTGAATACAAACTCAATAACAATATAAATTATAGATATTCACTGTATATATTGTATATAGAAGTCTGTATTATTTAATGACTAATTTAATACCAAAATAAACTGAAAATGAGACATTCTTGCTTTGCCATTGGAGAGCAATTTAACTGGAAATTAAACATGAAAAACAGATTGTTGTATTTTATTTAATTTTATTAGGTCTAAGCTAACTCATAAGGGTTCAGCCTACTAGCCCTTTTAACCAAAACTTTTAATGTTTAGATGTAGGCCTAGTGAATTTTACAGTTTATTAGGTAAAATGTAACTAAAATTATATGAATAGTAGGCTGATATTCTTATTTGTTAATTTACTAACAACAGTACACTCATACTGCTTTCCTATCACAAGTAAATTTTCTAATTTAATTAAAATTAATCAGACTAATTAGACAGAACTGATAGGCCTATACTACTTAGTACATTTTAAGAGCTGATTAGCTTACACTAAATTGTGTATCACACCATTTATTTAGTGACACACCCCATTTATTTTAATTATTTTTAACTTTCTATGAATTTCATGAAGCGAGGCTTAATAACCAGTAGGTCTAGGTTTGGTAGGACATACATAATACATAACAATGATATTCACTTCACAATTTGCTATATTTATTTCAAGTTTTAATTTTTGGATATTGGACTATTTAGACTTTAGACTTTTAGTGTAACTACTTGGAAATTTTTTTTTTGCCCCAGTGTCTCCACTAGGCCGGCAAAAGAAAGTTCTGCGCATGGGCAGTGACCTTAATAGCCGAGCTAGGTTTACATCTAGGGTTAGGGTTATGGCTAGGGTTCTGCTGTTGTAAACACACGCATGCGCAGTATCGAAAACATCGCTGTGAAGGCAAGTTGTAGTTTATCTCCATTGCGCATGCGTATCTTTTTCCGGCTAGAATTGGCCTATTAGTAATTATAGTTTTATATAATCTAGATCTAGCCATCATAGTCATAATGAATATTGTATAAGCCTATAGTTAAGACTTTTAGCACTGATTATTTGCTATATTAATAATATTAGGTCTCACATTAAATCTGAATTTTGACATTTAGTAAACTAATTAGGCTAGTTATAGATTATCTAGTAATTATAGTTAGATTTTGATCAAGCAGCTACTGTTGTTTACGCAGTTGCAGTAGAATAAGTTACTTTTACTTAGTACAAAAGTTACTAACTCTCCAGACTCTAGACTTATTCCACTATTCTAAATTCTATATCTAGATTCTAGATCTAGACATAGAAACTCTGGACTTGTAGTTCATTAGTTTAGTAGCTAAAATAGTAAAATTCTAATAAATCATCATTCCAATTCATCATGTTCAATAATAATTAAATAATAAATTCATTCATCATTTTTTTCATTCTCATTCAAACATCTAACATTCTAGATTAGATCTAGATCTAGAATCTAGATATCTAGATCTATATCTAGATCTAAATATCACTGAACTCTAGATCTATTAACCAGGTTAATAACTTTATTAGAAATGAATAAAATAAAACCAAGCCTTTATTTCGTTTCTAGATCTAGCACTCGTATTGAGTATTGACTCACTACTCTTCTATGTGGAGAATATTTTTAAAAATAAATTTACTCCAGCCAGCACTCGCACTCCAGCCAGCACTCGAACCGAGCAGCGCAAACAAAATAAAATATAAAAACGTACATATTTCTCTGCTCCAAGGAAGTTATATTTCATGATGCTACCCAATTCACAGTCAGGTTTATTACAAGTGTTGTATATAATCCAAAGTAGAAATACACCAAGAATCCACCGCTACATAAATGCATAATGAGATTGGGAACAAGTTGATTCTCAATCCCTATCTTTTTACCGAGAGAGCCATCTTGGTTTTGGCTGGTACTGTGACGTCACGTTTGTAGTCTAGTTTTCTGAATTTCGATTGGTTGACTTGCTCTGAATAGACAATGTCTAGGGATTATCTAAATTCTAAATCAAGAATTTTCAATGCACTGTTAGATCTATCCCTAGAGTCTAAATGTTTCATTTTATTTTAATTTGATTAATTAAAATAGTTAAATGTTAGATTATTTATTCATTAAACAGTTAAATACTTACTCGATCTCGTAACAGACCTTTATTGAGACCAAAAAAAAACAACAAACAACAATCTATCAACGAAACTTCTTTGAAATAGGCCTTATTTCAATATTTCTTGATGTCCTAGTTTATTACACTTTTAAATTTTTAAAGCAATCCATATAAATTAAAGATAAAATACATCCACGAATTTTATACAAAAAGATTAAATATTTAATTAATCTCCTTCACACACCGGATCGTGCGCAAAGTTATGTATTGCGAAAGGCGCATTGGTCGTATGCATGGGAATTGGGGGGGGGGGGGGGGGGGGGGGGGTAAATTTGAAACTTCCGAAGAGTGCACTTAAAATTTCCGGTGGGAGGGAGGTTGACACAGGTTAACAAAGTATAAAAATGTTTGTCCCCCCCCCCCAAATAATTTTAAGGAAAAACTTAAGCTGTTAAATTACTACGAAACACACAATGTGTGCTCCGTGACAAAAATAAGAAACCCATTCACACGCATACACACACATTTCAGAGTAGGTATTTAATGTCATATGGGCCCTATGGACGATTGCCATACAGCTTTCATATAAATAATATTCCTACTATCTATATATATAATTCTCTTCTGGGAGACGCTAGAAAACAAGCTGTAAACGCGCTCCCTACCATCCCCAAACCCTACATGGTCTTAGTGAGCTGTGGTTCACGCTATGTTTACCTTCGTGGAGTCGGGTTTAGTGACGGCTATTAGGGGCAGATAATTTAGGGGGGTGTGCAAATCGAAAGTTTGAGGGGGGTGCGGTGCAAATAGAAAATTTGAAAGTTTGTCCCCGGGAAGGGTCGCTACGCCTCTGGGGGGGGGGGGGTGACACCATTAAGTGCCGCACCGGGTGACACCCGACCTCGCTACGCCACTGGTGTGTGTGTGTGTGTCACCCTCCTTAAGCCCCCCCCCCTCTCCTCCACATTTATTACCCATGCATTTGAACCTTGATCTGCTAGTTAATTTTACTGTCATCCTCAAATGGTGCGAAACGTAGCTCCACCCCCTGTCCCAGCTTTATGACACAGTAGTGAAGGCCTACATAGGGGTAATCTATAAATAATATCACGCATTTTTGACGATTTTTTTTCCATACCCCCACCCCTTCCCCTCCGTCACACGTCGTCACAAAACACCATACACCTCCTAAAATATGACAATTTCTACTACAATTTACTAAAAATAAGTTTCTAAAACGAAAATTAACGTCTAAAATTATTTTTCTAACATTTACTTTATTAAAATACAAGTGTGACGTCATACTATCTGAACCTCCCCCCCCCCCCACCCCCCGTCTCATCACACATACGAATCCTTTATGGATGACCTCCCCCCCCCCAGAATCCTTTATGGATGGACCCCCCATCCACCTATTATGTAAATTGTGTGTATGTACGCTCGTGGACACTCAATATATCAATATATTCATCACCTCAATAACTGATAATGTTGTCTTAATTGGTGTTTTGAATTAAATGTAATCAGAATCAAATGGATCTACCTGCTATGCCACATCATGTGCCAGGGCTTCTGTCTACAATTGTACCACATTCGTAGTGCTACATTAATCTTCTCGGGGCTCGCTGATATAGACCGTCCCTGAGTTCACTCAGCTCTAATGGGTACCTAACTCACGTAAAGTAAAGTAAAGGCGGCTAGCATAGTGCTGACCACACTATCCTTTCACAAGCCGATGTCACAGAAACAGGTGAACTCTACTTCAATTGCCCCATAGACCGTCAGGTTTTTGAAAGGGGAACTTTACTTAGGTAGCTGATCGGACGGTCGGCTTGCTTCTCTAACATAAGTGAGTGATCATTAAGCAAGAACGCTAGACTGCTACCCACAAAGTCTCGAGCTCGGATTCCCAGGCTTGAGTACGCGTAGCGAGGGCGGGGCGGGGGTGCGGACCGCGACAATTATTAAAAGAAGATATATATATATATATATATATATATATATATATATATATATATATATATATATATATATATATATATATATATATATATATATATATATATATATATATATATATATATATATATATATATATATATATATATATATATATATATATATATATATATATATATATATATATATATATATATATATATATATTTATATATACTTTGTTTCTTGGAGAGGGGTGACACCACTAAGTTCCGCACCGGGTGATACCCGATCTAGCGACGCCACTGTATGTAGGACGTCCCTGAGTCCACCCAGCTCTTATGGGTACCTGGCTCACGTTAGGGAAACGAAGGCGGGCTCAGCATAGAGGTCATCAATAAATGACGTCATGCTTTTTTGTAGATTATTACATCCACCCCCCTCCCCTCATCACCCATCGTCGCGAAAAAAAAAAACCGAAAATGACGTCACACATCAGCCCTACAACAACCTGATCTCGGTAAACAAAGAGTATTTCTACACAATTTATCTTTCTAAGTTTTCTAAAACGCGAATTAACGGCTAAAATTCGTTTTCTAACATGACTTTTTATATTGTAAAAGTGTGACTTCACCGTATCTGAATCCCACCCCCCCCCCCCCCCCACCCCCCACCACCGTAAAAAAATTACGGACCACTCGCCTGTGTGACGTTATTTATCGACAACATCCATAGTTTCTGACAAAACTATTCCCTCGTATGCCGAGGTCATTGAAACATATTAATTCTACTGCATATGCCCCATGGGTCTATGACACGAAGGCACGGTCGGGAAAAGAGGATTAAGCAAGAGACAGTGCGAGTGGGTATCGTGTCCGAGCTTTGTTTCTTTCAGGCGTTTTTTCTCCGGGGGTGGGGGGGTCACTTACATATCCGTGGGGTGTGAGGTGGATCCTAGTTAAAGTATATATTTAATATGTAATTTTTTTTCCTTCTCTTTTCGAATGGGCGCTAGAATTGCTTCAGAGGGGGGGGGGGGGGGGGGGAGGGAGGTGCCTGAAAGAAATTCTGCGCCCGAGTCGAGGGACGGATTAAGTTGGGTGGGCTTCTCGCGAAAAAAAATTTCGAGCCCCTGCGGCTATTAGGGCACTAGGGTCAGTACGGTAAATTGGGGAGGGGCGGGGGGGGGGGGTTAATTGATGCGGCACATTTATCCCTTACAACAAGACAGCCTAAGAGGGTGGAGGTTAAAATTAAGTTTGTGGGGGATCAGGAATGGCTCGGCCGTATCGAGTAACGCGGGCCGGATTAAAGACGGACAGATACGTAGTGATCTGAAAACTGTTTATCTGCACGAGGTGTCCATTTTGACTTACATTAAAGCTCTTGAGGTTGTGTACGATTGTTATTTTTCTGTATCTTTTTCTGTATCTTTTATTCAGGCACCTCTCCCCCCTCCCCACAACACCCACATCCTCTTTCATGTATTTACATAGAGTTTCTAACCAGAGGCGTAGCGAGGGGGAGGGCGGCGGTGCGAACCTCACCGGTTGACAACATTTAGGAGGGTGACACCAAGGTAAAAAATAGCAAAATGTACAGAAGAAAAATGCTTTTTTTTTGCCAGTTCCATTAATGATCAATTAAAGTTAAATAGTCTTAATCGACAATTATTACAAGGAGGTGGGGGTGACATTATGACGTAAACGCGCTAGCTATAAAGAAAGCAATGCTTCATCTGACTGTATTATTAACAGAGTAAAGATAAACATCGTTACTCTTAAGTCTGCAGTGATTACAGCTTATACACATACACGTACGCGTATGTAGCATACATTTAAATTATAGGCTTATGCAGGCCAATATAGGCTCAATGCAGGCTCAAAACAGACAAAGCAATACTTATATATATATATATATTATATATATATATATATATATATATATATATATATATATATATATATATATTTATATATATATATATATATATATATATATATATATTGCTTTGTCTATTTTGAGCTTCACCGATTTGCTTTAACTTTGTTTTAAAAGCTCGACCAAGAAGCTTCGAGTGTGCGCTACAACCTCCACGATCAATGAATACATTTGGTTATAAAATGTCCACCCATGAAAGTTTTACAGCCTCGCGGCCCATTAGCTTCAACATTCGCTCCTCTGTGCTGAGAACTGGAAGTAAAATGTGTTCTTAGAATTAATGAATGGGGAAAAAAACAATAGAAAGACAGGAGAACATATATGGTAAACAGAGGCGTAGGCCGGAGGAGCAAGGGGGGGGGGCGGTTGCAGAGAAAACTTGACTACGCCTCTGATGGTTAATGAAATTAGATAAAGAGGGAATAATGAACGGTTTTATATTGGTACCCCTTTCCACTATCTTATGCGGAGGGGGGTGATGCGGGGGAAATATGTTCCTGGTTTAATTAATACAAATTAAACAATAATCAATAATCATTAAAAATAACAGTATAACTTCTTATCAGAGGCGTAGCGACCCTTCCCGGCGCCCGGGGACAAACTTTTCGATTTGCACCCCCCCCCCAAACTTTCGACGATTTGCACCCCCCCCCCCCTCAAGATTTCGATTTGCACCCCCCTCAACCTTTCAATTTATTTTTCCAACCCATATGTCCCCCCCCCCCCCCCCCGCCCCCCTCGCTACGCTACTGCTTCTTATGAACAGATATGTTTATTTAAGATGGATAATATTGATATTATATGAATTATATGTAATTTTAAAAGCTTATTTAAAAAATAGGTAAAGGTTGGGGGTAGTTAGGGGTGTATTTTTCAATGCGGTTTCCTCCACCCACCCGTCAATTAATTTCATTGTAGTCAGAAATATCTAGTGGTGTGTGACACAAACGCCAGGACATGACTGTCGCTGAGCTGCGTCGAGTATGTTACATAACAAAGACAGCCGAATTACGATCTTAAGACGAGCCACACAAAGGTAGCTTACACCAAAGTGAAAGCCCGTCGAAAGATTGATAGA